GAGGATGGTGGTCGGTGTCTTCTGATTGGACACGCCGGGGTCTCCGCCCTCCCAGCGCCTGAGACACGACCACACAACGGACAACGTGAACGGACAGAACCGACCCGCCGCCCGCCGCCCGCCGCCCACAACCTGGAGTCTGCTCCAGTTTAAACGCCGACGTTCAATGATTGAACAGTTTGGATTTAATATTTGATTTTATGGTTTTCGTTTTCATTACGTCGTATTTGATTTTGTTTCCAGAAAACACTGTGAGTTTGTTTAGAAAAATGCTGTAGAAAATATATAAATAATAAATAATAAAATATCAGTCGTCACTAAACCTCAGACGTGTTGTGTTCGTGCAGATCGAGTTTATGTCGCGTCCGTTCGACAAAGATCAGTTCTGGACTAAATGTCGTGTAAATAACGTCCAGTGTTTGTTCGTCTCTGACTTTTACACTGAAACAAATCAGCGAATCAGAAACGATCTGTGTCCAGACTCGTCGTTTCTGCGTCTCTGACTTTTTTCTCTCCACAGATTTGACACATTTGTTTCTGTTTGACACAAACTAAACGTTAAATCACATGGTTCATTTACATAAACTAATGTGTGTAAAAAAAACGGTTGTTTCGTGTGTCTGATGTGGTTCAGTTTGTGTCGGACTAAAGACACAGAGACTCATGAGTGTTCTCCCTGTGTCAGAGGGGTGTTCTCCCTGTGTCAGAGGGGTGTTCTCCCTGTGTCAGAGGGGTGTTCTCTCTGTGTACAGAGGGGTGTTCTCTCTGTGACAGAGGGGTGTTCTCTCTGTGTGTTCAGAGGGGTGTTCTCTGTGTGTCAGAGGGGTGTTCTCTCTGTGTGACAGAGGGGTGTTCTCTCTGTGTGACAGAGGGGTGTTCTCTCTGTGTCAGAGGGGTGTTCTCTCTGTCAGAGGGGTGTTCTCTCTGTTCTCTCTGACAGAGGGGTGTTCTCTCTGTGTGTCAGAGGGGTGTTCTCCCTGTGTCAGAGGGGTGTTCTCTCTGTGTGACAGAGGGGTGTTCTCTCTCTGTGACAGAGGGTGTTCTCTCTGTGTGTCAGAGGGGTGTTCTCTCTGTGTCACTGTGAGGGGTGTTCTCTCTGTGTCAGAGGGGTGTTCTCCTCTGTGTCAGAGGGGGTGTTCTCTCTGTGACAGAGGGTGTTCTCTCTGTGTGTCAGAGGGGTGTTCTCTCTGTGTGTCAGAGGGGTGTTCTCTCTGTGTCAGAGGGGTGTTCTCTCTGTGTGACAGAGGGGTGTTCTCTCTGTGTACAGAGGGGTGTTCTCTCTGTGTGTCAGAGGGGTTCTCTCTGTGACAGAGGGGTGTTCTCTCTGTGTCAGAGGGGTGTTCTCTCTGTGTCAGAGGGTGTGTTCTCTCTGTGTCAGAGGGGTGTTCTCTCTGTGTCAGAGGGTGTTCTCTCTGTGACAGAGGGGTGTTTCTCTCTGTGTACAGAGGGGTGTTCTCCTCTGTGTGTCAGAGGGTGTTCTCTCTGTGTCAGAGGGTGTTCTCTCTGTGTCAGAGGGGTGTTCTCTCTGTGTCAGGGTGTTTCTCTGGTGTCAGAGGGGTGTTCTCTCTGTGTCAGAGGGGTGTTCTCTCTGTGTCAGAGGGGTGTTCTCTCTGTGTCAGAGGGGTGTTCTCTCTCTGTGTCAGAGGGGTGTTCTCTCTGTGTGACAGAGGGGTGTTCTCTCTGTGTGTCAGAGGGGTGTTCTCTCTGTGTCAGAGGGGTGTTCTCTCTGTGTCAGAGGGGTGTTCTCTCTGTGTGTCAGAGGGGTGTTCTCTCTGTGTGACAGAGGGGTGTTCTCTCTGTGTCAGAGGGGTGTTCTCTCTGTGTGACAGTGTCAGAGGGGTGTTCTCTCTGTGTCAGAGGGGTGTTCTCGTCTGTGTCAGAGGGGTGTTTTCTCTCTGTGACAGAGGGTGTTCTCTCTGTGACAGAGGGGTGTTCTCTCTGTGTCAGAGGGTGTTCTCTCTGTGACAGAGGGGTGTTCTCTCTGTGTCAGAGGGGTGTTCTCTCTGTGTCAGAGGGGTGTTCTCTCTGTGTCAGAGGGGTGTTCTCTCTGTGTCAGAGGGTGTTCTCTCTGTGTCAGAGGGGGGTGTTCTCTCTGTGTCAGACAGAGGGTGTTCTCTCTGTGTCAGAGGGGTGTTCTCTCTCTCTGTGACAGAGGGTGTTCTCTCTGTGACAGAGGGGTGTTCTCTCTGTGTCAGAGGGTGTTCTCTCTGTGTCTCAGAGGGGTGTTCTCTCTGTGTGTCAGAGGGGTGTTCTCTCTGTGACAGAGGGGTGTTCTCTCTGTGACAGAGGGGTTTCTCTCTGTGAGAGGGGTGTTCTCTCTCTGTGACAGAGGGGTGTTCTCTCTCTGTGTCAGAGGGGTGTTCTCTCTGTGTCAGAGGGGTGTTCTCTCTGTGTCAGAGGGGTGTTCTCTCTGTGTCAGAGGGGTGTTCTCTCTGTGTCAGAGGGGTGTTCTCTCTGTGTGACAGAGGGTGTTCTCTCTGTGTCAGAGGGGTGTTCTCTCTGTGTCAGAGGGGTTCTCCTCTGTGACAGAGGGGTTTCTCTCTGTGTCAGAGGGGTGTTCTCTCTGTGACAGAGGGGTGTTCTCTCTGTGTCAGAGGGGTGTTCTCTCTGTGTCAGAGGGGGGTTCTCTCTGTGTCAGAGGGGTGTTCTCTCTGTGTCAGAGGGGTGTTCTCTCTGTGACAGAGGGTGTTTCTCTCTGTGTGACAGAGGGTGTTCTCTCTGTGACAGAGGGGTGTTCTCTCTGTGTCAGTTCTCTGTGAGAGGGGTGTTCTCTCTGTGTCAGAGGGTGTTCTCTCTGTGACAGAGGGGTGTTCTCTCTGTGTCAGAGGGGTGTTCTCTCTGTGTCAGAGGGGTGTTCTCTCTTGAGAGGGGTGTTCTCTCTGTGTCAGAGGGTGTTCTCTCTGTGAGAGGGGTGTTCTCTCTGTGTGACAGAGGGTGTTCTCTCTGTTGTGACAGAGGGGTGTTCTCTCTGTGTCAGAGGGGTGTTCTCTCTGTGTGACAGAGGGGTGTCTCTCTGTCAGAGGGGTGTTCTCTCTGTGACAGAGGGTGTCTCTGTGACAGAGGGTGTTCTCTCTGTGTCAGAGGGGTGTTCTCTCTGTGTCAGAGGGGTGTTCTCTCTGTGTCAGAGGGGTGTTCAGAGGGTTCTCTCTGTGTGTCAGAGGGGTGTTCTCTCTGTGACAGAGGGGTGTTCTCTCTGTGTCAGAGGGGTGTTCTCTCTGTGTCAGAGGGGTGTTCTCTCTGTGTGACAGAGGGGTGTTCTCTCTGTGTGACAGAGGGGTGTTCTCTCTGTGTCAGAGGGGTGTTCTCTCTGTGTGACAGAGGGGTGTTCTCTCTGTGTCAGAGGGGTGTTCTCTCTGTGTGACAGAGGGGTGTTCTCTCTGTGTGTCAGAGGGGTGTTCTCTCTGTGACAGAGGGGTGTTCTCTCTGTGTCAGAGGGGTGTTCTCTCTGTGTGACAGAGGGGTGTTCTCTCTGTGACAGAGGGTGTTCTCTCTGTGTCAGAGGGGTGTTCTCTCTGTGTGACAGAGGGTGTTCTCTCTGTGACAGAGGGTGTTCTCTTCTGTGTCAGAGGGGTGTTCTCTCTGTGTGAGAGGGGTTTCACAGAGGGGTGTTCTCTCTGTGTCAGAGGGGTGTTCTCTCTGTGTGACAGAGGGGTGTTCTCTCTGTGTGTCAGAGGGGTGTTCTCTCTCTGTGTCAGAGGGGTGTTCTCTCTGTGTCAAGAGGGGTGTTCTCTCTGTGACAGAGGGTGTTCTCTCTGTGTCAGAGGGGTGTTCTCTCTGTGTCAGAGGGTGTTCTCTCTGTGTCAGAGGGTGTTTCTCTCTGTGTCAGAGGGGTTTCTCTCTGTGTCAGAGGGGTGTTCTCTCTTGTGACAGAGGGGTGTTCTCTCTGTGTCAGAGGGGTGTTCTCTCTGTGTCAGAGGGGTGTTCTCTCTGTCTCTCTGTGTTGTGTCGTGTTGTTGGTTCATGTGAAACTTTTCACACATTATACGTGTGCAGGTGGTGCACACAGACACACGTTTATGTGACTGGACACATATTGTGTGTCTTAGTGTTTTGGTGGTGACAGACACACATCAGAGGATCAGAGTTTTCACACAGTCCCCATCACATCTGGACTCACATACACACTAGTGTGAACGAGGCCTTGGACGTGGACTCAGATGCTTCAGGTCGTCATGGTGACGAGTCACACTCACAGTAAAATGATCAATATTATTAATGACGTTTCTGTAGTTTGATGTTTGTTGGTCGAGTCTCGTTCAGACTGAGACTCAGGACCAAAACACATGAAGATGATCGAGTCTCTTCTTCTTCTTTTATGATAAATAATGTTGTTTTATCAATATTATTTGTAATTAAACATTTATTTATCGTTCCCTCGTTCCCTCTCTCCTCTCCTCCTCCCTCGTTCCCTCTCTCCTCCTCCTCGTGTTCCCTCGTTCCCTCTCTCCTCCTCCTCGTGTTCCCTCGTTCCCTCTCTCCTCTCCTCCCTCGTTCTTACCTCATGGTGTGGATACACTCTGGTTCTTTGGTGAAGGCGTAGGCGTAGCCGCTCGACGTGGTTCCAAAGTCGATGGCGACGACAACGACGAACGACGGTCTGTCTGGAACCTGGTCCGACTCATTCTGGACCAAACAAGACCAGAGGTTTAGTCCTGGTTTAGTCCTGGTTTAGTCCTGGTTTAGTCCTGGTTTAGTCCTGGTTTAGTCCTGGTTTAGTTCTGGTTTAGTCCTGGTTTAGTCCTGGTTCAGTCCTGGTTTAGTTCTGGTTTAGTCCTGGTTTAGTCCTGGTTCAGTCCTGGTTTAGTTCTGGTTCAGTCCTGGTTTAGTTCTGGTTTAGTCCTGGTTTAGTTTAGTCCTGGTTTAGTCTGTTTAGTCCTGGTTAGTTCTGGTTTAGTCCTGAGTCCTGGTTTAGTCCTGGTTTAGTTCTGGTTTAGTCTGGTTTAGTTCTGGTTAGTCCTGGTTTAGTCCTGTTCAGTCCTGGTTAGTTCTGGTTTAGTCCTGTTTAGTCCTGTTTAGTCCTGGTTCAGTCCTGGTTTAGTCCTGGTTTAGTCCTGGTTAGTCCTGGTTCAGTCCTGTTTAGTCCTGGTTCAGTCCTGGTTTAGTCCTGGTTTAGTCCTGGTTTAGTCCTGGTTTAGTTCTGGTTTAGTCCTGGTTTAGTTCTGGTTTAGTCCTGGTTTAGTTCTGGTTTAGTCCTGGTCTTGCCTCATATTTCAGATTCTTTCTGGGGCTCATTGTTTTCGTTGCATCACAAATTGGACAAAAACAAAAGATGGCGAGGCCCCAGAGAGGATCTGAACCAGGACTGAACCAGGACTGAACCAGGACTGAATCAGGACTGAACCAGGACTGAACCAGGACTGAGCTAAACCAAGCTCTTGGTTAAGACCTGGTTTAGAACTTGTTCAGTCCTGGTTAAGTTCTGTTTTAGTCTTGCGTTAGTCCTGGTTCAGACCCAGTCCAGTCCAGTCCTGGTCCTGGTCCTGGTCCTGGTCCTGGTCCAGACCTGTATGTGTGTGGGGGACAGGGGGGTGATTCCCGGGTCTCCGATGCTTTTGGCGGGAGACGGATTCGCCATCGGATCTGAAAAAAACAACAACAGAAAAACAGGTGAGAGGAAGTGTCCTGCTCCAGAGCACGACGGCACCGTCAAACCTCCAGTGAATGTGACGTGTGGAGTGGGCGGAGCCTCGTACAGACTCGTACTGCTGATGGTTACAGGGTTTGAACAGGGACCAGGAGAGATCTCTAGATTATTCAAACATGAACAGGAAACTCCAAAAAAGGACGTTTGGGAAAATAGATTTCTCTCTTTTCCCCTGTCGGCCCTGCCTCTGCACCTGTCCCTGCCTCTGCACCTGTCCCTGTCTCTGCACCTGTCCCTGCCTCTGCACCTGTCGGCCCTGCCTCTGCACCTGTCCCTGTCTCTGCACCTGTCCCTGTCTCTGCACCTGTCCCTGCCTCTGCACCTGTCGGCCCTGTCTCTGCACCTGTCGGCCCTGTCTTTGCACCTGTCTCTTGTATTGGACTAGACATAGATTTAGATTTGATTAAATTTTTTAAAAGTATTTTTATTTTGCTTTGTCTCTGCCGCTGATCTCTGCCCCCGCTCCTGTCGGTCCTGTCGGTGCACCTGTCGGTCCTGTCTGTGCACCTGTCGGTCCTGTCTGTGCACCTGTCGGTCCTGTCGGTGCACCTGTCTCTTGTGTTGGACACCTGTCAGTTAAAGCGTGACATTTGGATTTGTCGTTAATGTCTTTTATCGTCTTTTTTAATGTTTACTCTCTCTTTCTTTCTCTGGTTCCTTTTCAGAATCACAATAATAAACTCGGCAGGACGCTGCCCCCTGCTGAGAGGATGAGTGCCGTTTAAAAGCATTCTGGGTAATTACGGCGCCCAAATGGGACCGCCCGCCGCGCCATCGCACCAAACGCCGCCGCTGCCCCTCGTCTGCCGCTCGCCGCCGCCGTCGCCACCGTGTTTACGACGTTTTTACACAAATACAACATTTGGAAAGAATTAGACTTTTTACTGAAGATTTAAAACAAATTCTCTCGTTTAAAATCCTCCGTCTGAAAAAAAACCCCCAAGGTTTAGACCTGGTTTAGTTCTGGTTTAGTCCTGGTTTAGACCTGGTTTAGTCCTGGTTTAGTCCTAGTTTAGACCTGGTTTAGACCTGGTTTAGTCCTGGTTTAGTCCTGGTTTAGACCTGGTTTAGACCTGGTTTAGATCTGGTTTAGTCCTGGTTTAGTCCTGGTTTAGACCTGGTTTAGACCTGGTTTAGTCCTGGTTTAGTTTTTGTATAAGTGCAGTTTGCATGTTCTGCCTGTGTCTAGTTTTCCCACCAAAAATAAACCAGGACTAAACCAGGTCTAAACCAGGACTAAACCAGGACTAAACCAGGTGTAAACCAGGTCTAAACCAGGACTAAACCAGGACTAAACCAGGTCTAAACCAGGACTAAACCAGGACTAAACCAGGACTAAACCAGGACTAAACCAGGAACCAGGTCTAAACCAGGACTAAAAAACCAGGTAAACCAGGTAAACCAGGACTAAACAGGTAAACCAGGTCTAAACCAGGACTAAACCAGGTCTAAACCAGGACTAAACCAGGACTAAACCAGGACTAAACCAGGTCTTGTTGTTCCACTGAGGCTCGTGTTGTTTTTCTCGGCTCTTTTCATTGAGGCCTTTTCATGAGACCTGGACCCGAGCCAAGACCCAGAACCAGAACCAGGACCGAGGAGGGACCTGACACACATGAGGGACCTGACACACATGAGGGACCTGACACACATGAGGGACCCGACACACGGGGAGGAGGGACCTGACACACATGAGGGACCCGACACACATGAGGGACCTGACACACATGAGGGACCTGACACACATGAGGGACCTGACACACGGGGAGGAGGGACCTGACACACATGAGGAGGGACCTGACACATACGGGGAGGAGGGACCTGACACACATGAGGAGGGACCTGACACACACGGGGAGGAGGGACCTGACACACATGAGGAGGGACCTGACACACACGGGGAGGAGGGACCTGACACACATGAGGAGGGACCTGACACACATGAGGAGGGACCTGACACACATGAGGAGGGACCTGACACACACGTGAGGAGGGACCTGACACACACATGAGGAGGGACCTGACACACATGAGGGAGGGACCTGACACACATGAGGAGGGACCTGACACACATGAGGAGGGACCTGACACACATGAGGAGGGACCTGACACACACGGGGAGGAGGGACCTGACACACATGAGGAGGGACCTGACACACATGAGGAGGGACCTGACACACATGAGGAGGGACCTGACACACATGAGGAGGGACCTGACACACATGAGGAGGGACCTGACACGCTTCCACTTTGTGACATCATTACGTGTTCAGTTCATGTTTTAGCCTCATTTGAAGTGTCAACACTCACAGAGTGAATCACCTCCACTAACACCTGAACCTGAACCTGAACCTGAACCTGAACCGGTTCTAGACTCATCCCTGTATGTTTGAGTCATCTAGTGATCTGTCCCGAGCCCAAACCCTCCTCAGTCACAGTGATCATCAAACATTTGAATCCAGCGTTTTGGGCAATACAGGATTAAAACCAGGACTAAACCAGGACTAAACCAGGTCTAAACCAGAACTAAACCAGGACTAAACCAGGTCTAAACCAGACTAAACTAAACCAGGACTAAACCAGGTCTAAACCAAGACTAAACCAGGACTAAACCAGGACTAAACCAAGACTAAACCAAGACTAAACCAGGACTAAACCAGGACTAAACCAGGACTAAACCAAGACTAAACCAAGACTAAACCAACTAAACCAGGACTAAACCAGGACTAAACCAGGTGTAAACCAGGTCTAAACCAGGACTAAACCAAGACTAAACCAGGACTAAACCAAGACTAAACCAAGACTAAACCAAGACTAAACCAGGACTAAACCAAAACTAAACCAGGACTAAACCAGGACTAAACCAGGTGTAAACCAGGTCTAAACCAGGACTAAACCAAGACTAAACCAAGGACTAAACCAGGACTAAACCAGGACTAAACCAGGACTAAAACCAGGACTAAACCAGGACTAAACCAGGACTAAACCAGGTCTAAACCAGGACTAAACCAGGACTAAACCAGGTGTAAACCAGGACTAAACCAGGACTAAACCAGGAAAACTAAACCAGTAAACCAGTAAACCAGGTCTAAACCAGGACTAAACCAGGACTAAACCAGGTAAACCAGTAAACCAGGACTAAACCAGGACTAAACCAGGTCTAAACCAGGACTAAACCAGGTCAAACTCCCAGATTTCTTGGAACGAGGAGAAAAGAGCAGAAGAAGAAGAACCTGACGTCTGTGTTTATGAGGAAAAACTCCAACAATGAACTTCCTTCCTCAGATCCTCCAGATGCCCTCCCAGTGTGACAGGTCCCTCCCAGTGTGACAGGTCCCTCCCAGTGTGACAGGTCCCTCCCAGTGTGACAGGTCCCTCCCAGTGTGACAGGTCCCTCCCAGTGTGTCAGGTCCCTCCCAGTGTGTCAGGTCCCTCCCAGTGTGACAGGTCCCTCCTCGTGTGTGTCAGGTCCTCCCAGTGTGACAGGTCCCTCCCAGTGTGTCAGGTCCCTCCCAGTGTGTCAGGTCCCTCCCAGTGTGACAGGTCCCTCCCAGTGTGTCAGGTCCCTCCCAGTGTGACAGGTCCCTCCCAGTGTGTGTCAGGTCCCTCCCAGTGTGTGTCAGGTCCCTCCCAGTGTGTCAGGTCCCTCCCAGTGTGTGTCAGGTGCCTCCCAGTGTGTGTCAGGTCCCTCCCAGTGTGTGTCAGGTCCCTCCCAGTGTGTCAGGTCCTCCCAGTGTGTGTCAGGTCCCTCCCAGTGTGTGTGTCAGGTCCCTCCCAGTGTGACAGGTCCCTCCCAGTGTGTCAGGTCCCTCCCAGTGTGTCAGTCCCTCCCAGTGTGTGTGTCAGGTCCCTCCCAGTGTGTGTGTCAGGTCCCTCCCAGTGTGACAGGTCCCTCCCAGTGTGTCAGGTCCCTCCCTCAGTGTGTGTCAAGGTCCCTCCCAGTGTGTGTCAGGTCCCTCCTCGTGTGTGTCAGGTCCCTCCCAGTGTGACAGGTCCCTCCCAGTGTGTCAGGTCACTCCTCATGTGTGTCAAGTCCCTCCTCGTGTGTGTCAGGTCCTCCTCGTGTGTGTCAGGTCCCTCCCAGTGTGACAGGTCCCTCCCAGTGTGTCAGGTCACTCCTCATGTGTGTCAAGTCCCTCCTCGTGTGTGTCAGGTCCCTCCTCGTGTGTGTCAGGTCCCTCCCAGTGTGACAGGTCCCTCCCAGTGTGTCAGGTCATCCTCATGTGTCAAGTCCTCTCGTGTGTGTCAGGTCCCTCCTCGTGTGTGTCAGGTCCCTCCCAGTGTGACAGGTCCCTCCCAGTGTGTCAGGTCACTCCTCATGTGTGTCAAGTCCCTCCTCGTGTGTGTCAGGTCCCTCCTCGTGTGTGTCAGGTCCCTCCCAGTGTGACAGGTCCCTCCCAGTGTGTCAGGTCACTCCTCATGTGTGTCAAGTCCCTCCTCGTGTGTGTCAGGTCTTGGACTGATCCGGTTTTTGGAGCAGATCCCGAGGACCTGAGGACGACCGGGGAGTGGGAGGGGCCAGAGCTAAATATGGAAACAGGAAGTGCTCTGTTTCCTCTCATTTTAAAAACTGTGTCATTGTGAAGTAGACCTGGTCCAGACCTGGTTTAGTCCTGGTCCAGACCTGGTTTAGTCCTGGTCCAGACCTGGTTTAGTCCTGGTCCAGACCTGGTTTAGTCCTGGTCCAGACCTGGTTTAGTCCTGGTCCAGACCTGGTTTAGTCCTGGTCCAGACCTGGTTTAGTCCTGGTTCAGTTCCTCTCTGCTGCAGAGCGTCTGGACACTTGTATTTTTAAACAGTTTGTTTGGTTGATTTTTCTTCAGTGAATCAGAATCAAGTTTCTCAGGTTGTTTTTATATTTGAGAATAAACCAGTCACACAGACTAGACACACTATCAGGCCCCAGTCACACTAGTGTGTATGTGAGAGGTTTGTTCACACTAGTGTGTATGTGAGAGGTTTGTTCACACTAGTGTGTATGTGAGAGGTTTGTTCACACTAGTGTGTATGTGAGAGGTTTGTTCACACTAGTGTGTATGTGAGAGGTTTGTTCACACTAGTGTGTATGTGAGAGGTTTGTTCACACAAGCGGCGAGTACGAGCGGAATTTGACTGAAGTCGACGTGAAAACAAACACATCAGTCCACATCAGAGGTTCACACTTTTTCATCATGTGAGCTTCTTACAAAACGACCGAGTCAAAATGATCGACCTGATACAAAGTCAAACAAACTGCACTGAAACACTCTGTGCCCTTTTCTGGACCCTCCCCCACAGTTTGAGAACCTCTTCTTTAAGAGAACTTCCTCTGACACTTTACACAAAACTGTGAAAAAAGTGAAGGAAGATTTTTAAACCTGTTTTTTAAAGTTCCAAACTGGAGTTTCATTCTTTTGTGGTTTTGCAGTGATATTTTCCAGCCTCTGCACGTTTACCAAACCAAACGCACATCGTGACAAACACAGATGCATTTGTCACTTTTGTTAGACAAACTTCAGCCAAATGTGGCAGTAGGTCTGTTCTGTAGATCCGCTCTATGCTGTAGACCTGCTTTGTGCCAACACTGGAACACAAATTTAGACTGGTTTTTGCTTCACGTTTGGTCTTGTTCTAATCAGCCGCACTGTGGGAGGGGCTTGTGTTGGCTGTACGCAGGAAGGAGCGAGAGCGTGAAAAGGCGAGGGGCGGCGTGCTGACGTGAGGCAGGTGGACAGGTAGGATGTTTAGGAAGTTGAACCTGCCCTGTGATGCACGCTGGTACACGAGGGCACACGCTGTCGCAGACGAGCCGTGCATAGGGAGCGTGTGTGTTTGTGATGCGCCGTAGAGTCTCCGCGGGTTTCAAATGAGCGCACAGGCTGCACTGAGACGCCCCACACACACGCTCCTGCACCCGCTACAAGTTTATTACCAACAGCAGCGGCCGGAATGAAATATGATCACACTTGTCGAGTGTCAAACCTCGAGTGAGAGACAAGACCGAGTCCAAACACGAGTCCGAGACGAGACACGACGATCGACACACACGACCTTGGAGATCGACTGTAGATCGAGATCGACATATTGAGCACCTCTGGTCTAAAGTGTTTAAAAGTGAATCTGTCGTTCCTGTGTCTGTGAACCTCAAACACACACACACAGACACACACACACACACACACACACACACACACACACACACAGACACAGACACACACACACACACACACACACACACACACAGACACACACACACACACAGACACACACACACACACACACACACACAGACACACACACACACACACACACACAGACACACACACACACACACACACACACACACACAGACACAGACACACACACACACACACACACACACACACACACACACACACACACACACACACACACACACACACACACACACACACACACACACACACACACACACACACACACACACACACACACACACACACACAGACACACAGACACACACACACACACACACACACACACACAGACACACACACACACACACACACACACACACACACACACACACACACACACACACACACACACACACACACACACACACACAGACACACACACACACACACACACACACACACACACACACACACACACACACAGACACACACACACACACACACACACACACACACACACACACACACACACACAGACACACACACACACACACACACACACACACACACACACACACACACACACAGACACACACACACACACACACACACACACACACAGACACACACACACACACACACACACACACACAGACACACACACACACACACACACAGACACACACACACACACACACACACACAGACACACACACACACACACACACACACACATACACACAGACCTGGAGGACATGAGTGGAATCCAACAAACACCAGGACAGTGTGAGATGGACTTTCACACCTGGAGACTCAGTGTGAAGCAGAATTCTCTCAGACGTGTTAAAGTGACACGTTCACACAGACACGAGGAGAACATCCAAACAACTACAAACATCTACAAACATCTACAAACATCTACAAACATCTACATCTACAAACATCTACAAACATCTACATCTACAAACATCTACAAACATCTACAAACATCTACAAACATCTACAAACATCTACAAACATCTACAAACATCTACAAACATCTACAAACATCTACAAACATCTACAAACATCTACAAACATCTACAAACATCTACAAACATCTACAAACATCTACAAACATCTACAAACATCTACAAACATCTACAAACATCTACAAACATCTACAAACATCTACAACATCTACAAACATCTACAAACATCTACAAACATCTACAAACATCTACATCTACAAACATCTACAAACATCTACAAACATCTACAAACATCTACAAACATCTACAAACATCTACAAACATCTACAACACATCTACAAACATCTACAATCTACAAACATCAACATCTACAAACATCTACAAACATCTACAAACATCTACAAACATCTACAAACATCTACAAACATCTACATCTACAAACATCTACAAACATCTACAAACATCTACAAACATCTACAAACATCTACAAACATCTACAAACATCTACATCTACAAACATCTACAAACATCTACAAACATCTACAACTACAAACATCTACAAACATCTACAACTACAAACATCTACAAACATCTACAAAACTACAAACAGAACTAAACCAGGACTAAATGAGAACTAAACTAAATGAACTGTTCGTTGTTGTTTGTTCGTTGTTCGTTGTTGTTTGTTCGTTGTTCGTTGTTGTTTGTTTGTTTGTTTGTCGTTTGTTGTGGTGAGTGAGTTGATTCTTTGTTGAGTTCATGAAGAGAAACACAAGTTCATGTTTCACTCTGAATGAACGGGGGGTGGGGGGTGGGGGGGCACAGTCACACTCTTGTGTCGTCTGCATCTGACCCTGGAGCAGGGCCGGTCCTGTCAGGGGCAGGGCCGGTCCTGTCAGGAGGTCTGGTTTCATTCAGAAGTTGCTGATTTGTCTCGATACAGTGAACATTCGATTTGATTCGATATATTTCAAATCGATTCGATACGGTTCAATAAAAATAAAGTGTAAATCACTGGAGGAAAAAGTCAGATGAACAAAGGTCAGAATCGTCAGATTTGATCTGAAAGTTTGTCTGGATTTTTCTGTTTTATTTTTGTCATAAAGAAACTTTCAGTTTTTTCTTTGTCCTGATTTATTCAAACTGTGACGACGACAGGTGAGTTGACCACCTGCCACGACCCTGTCAGCACCAGAGCATCACCTCACATGTCCCACACCTCCTCCTCCTCCCTCCATCCTCTGTCCTCCATCTTTCTGCTCATCATGTAACTTGCTGACTCCTCCTCTCTCTCTCCTCTTCATCCCTCTCTTCTCTCTTCTCTCTCTCCCTCTGGTCCTGACTCGGCTCTTGTTCTTTCGCTGACTCACGCTCCTCCTCTTCCGGCTCTTCCGGCTCTTGCGGCTCTTGTGGCTCCTCGGGGCTTCCGTCCTCCGCACCTGAACGCCGCAGTCTGCACCGGGACACGTGACCGCGCACGTGCACGCGGACGCACGGGGGTCTGGCCTCACGTGCGCGCGCCTCGTGCGTCGCCATTTTCCGGACCCGCCGCGTCACTGCGGACCCTCACGCACGCGCACGCACGCGCACACGCACGCTGCACCAAAACACGCCCCGGACACGCGGGAGAGACGCGAGCGAGACGCACCTAACACGCCCCGAAAACAGAAGGAACTGCGGGAAACTCAGACCGCGCACAAAGTCACGGAATGTCCGCACCTCTGCACACGACCCAGACACACAAACCCAGAACTGAACCCGGACTGGACACGGACTCAACCAGGACTGAACCCGGACTGGACCGGGACTGGACCGGGACTTGGGGGATGCCCGGTGGAACTTGCATCTTAAACCTGTGGGGCCAAATCACGTCCACCACGGGACACAAACAAGTAAAAACTAGTGGAGTCTAAACCAGGCCAAAACTGAAACCAGACCAACTCTAAACCCGGACTAAAACAGAACTAAACCAGGTCTAAACTTGGCTCTAAACCAGACTCGTGCCAAGGACACACCGTCCCAAACTCCAGCGGGACCAGCGGGGCGAAATGATGAGAAAAGTGGGACTAAACCAGGACTAGACCCGGGTCCTGGTCCGGTCCGGGTCCGGTCCGGGTCTGGTCCGGGTCTGGTCCGGGTCTGGTCTCGGTCTGGTCCGGTCCGTACCTGGGAGGATCTTGTCCGTGTCGCTCATGTCGCCCTCCTCTCGCTGCTCCGCGCCGCAGCTGCAACACGCGATGTTCCCGCTGCAGAGGAGCGCACAGGCGGCCGTGGCACCGGGACGAGCCGCGCAGGAGCCGCGCAGGAGCCGCTGGAGGAGCCGCGCAGGAGCCGCTGGAGGAGCCGCTGGAGGAGCCGCTGGAGGAGCCGCTGGACCGAGGCGGGCTGGCGCGGTGAGGCCGGGGTGCAGCGCGGTGAGGCCGGGGTGCGGAGCCTGGAGCTGCGGTCGGACACTTCGGGACCCTCCCTCCGCAGAGTAACGGGACAGAGTTTGGAGACACGCGCCCCCTGCAGGTGTCCGGGGGAAGTGCGGGGCTCAGAGGCGGGAGCGTGAAGGGGGCGCGAGGGACAGACACCCCCCCCCCCCACACACACACAGACCCCCCCGCCCCCACACACACAGACCCCCCCGCCCCACGCGTGTGTCCGTGTGAAACAGCGGGGGGCGGGATTCCGGTCATTCTTACGTCTGATGGACGAAAAAAAACTTTAAACACAAACGTCACGAATAAAAGACAAACAAAAATATACAAATATACAAAAACAAACAAACAAACAGAAAAAAAGTAATAAAATATAACAGTTTTACAGTTGTAGGGAGTATTATAGTGTGGATGTAGTCCTGTATCTCACTTTTCAACAGTTGTAGGGAGTATTATAGTGTGGATGTAGTCCTGTATCTCACTTTTCAGTTGTAGGGAGTAGTGTGATGTAGTCCTGTATCTCCTTTCATACAGTTGTAGGAAGTATTATAGTGTGGATGTAGTCCTGTATCTCACTTTTCAACAGTTGTAGGGAGTATTATAGTGTGGATGTAGTTTTGTATCTCACTTTTAAACGGTTGTAGGGAGTATTATAGTGTGGATGTAGTCCTGTATCTCACTTTTGAACAGTTGTAGGGAGTATTATAGTGTGGATGTAGTCCTGTATCTCACTTTTGTACAGTTGTAGGGAGTATTATAGTGTAGATGTAGTCCTGTATCTCACTTTTGTACAGTTGTAGGGAGTATTATAGTGTGGATGTAGTCCTGTATCTCACTTTTCAACAGTTGTAGGGAGTATTATAGTGTGGATGTAGTCCTGTATCTCACTTTTGTACAGTTGTAGGGAGTATTATAGTGTGGATGTAGTCCTGTATCTCACTTTTCAACAGTTGTAGGGAGTATTATAGTGTGGATGTAGTCCTGTATCTCACTTTTCAACAGTTGTAGGGAGTATTATAGTGTGGATGTAGTCCTGTATCTCACTTTTCAACAGTTGTAGGGAGTATTATAGTGTCGATGTAGTCCTGTATCTCACTTTTCAACAGTTGTAGGGAATATTATAGTGTCGATGTAGTCCTGTATCTCACTTTCATACAGTTGTAGGGAGTATTATAGTGTCGATGTAGTCCTGTATCTCACTTTCATACAGTTGTAGGGAGTATTATAGTGTGGATGTAGTCCTGTATCTCACTTTCATACAGTTGTAGGGAGTATTATAGTGTGGATGTAGTCCTGTATCTCACTTTTCAACAGTTGTAGGGAGTATTATAGTGTGGATGTAGTCCTGTATCTCACTTTTCTACAGTTGTAGGGAGTATTATAGTGTGGATGTAGTCCTGTATCTCACTTTCATACAGTTGTAGGGAGTATTATAGTGTGGATGTAGTCCTGTATCTCACTTTTCAACAGTTGTAGGGAGTATTATAGTGTGGATGTAGTTTTGTATCTCACTTTTAAACGGTTGTAGGGAGTATTATAGTGTGGATGTAGTCCTGTATCTCACTTTTGAACAGTTGTAGGGAGTATTATAGTGTGGATGTAGTCCTGTATCTCACTTTTGTACAGTTGTAGGGAGTATTATAGTGTAGATGTAGTCCTGTATCTCACTTTTGTACAGTTGTAGGGAGTATTATAGTGTGGATGTAGTCCTGTATCTCACTTTTCAACAGTTGTAGGGAGTATTATAGTGTGGATGTAGTGTATCTGTAGTCCTGTATCTCACTTTTCAACAGTTGTAGGGAGTATTATAGTGTGGATGTAGTCCTGTATCTCACTTTTCAACAGTTGTAGGGAGTATTATAGTGTGGATGTAGTCCTGTATCTCACTTTTCAACAGTTGTAGGGAGTATTATAGTGTGGATGTAGTCCTGTATCTCACTTTTCAACAGTTGTAGGGAGTATTATAGTGTGGATGTAGTCCTGTATCTCACTTTTCAACAGTTGTAGGGAGTATTATAGTGTAGATGTAGTCCTGTATCTCACTTTTCAAACAGTTGTAGGGAGTATTATAGTGTGGATGTAGTCCTGTATTCTCACTTTTCAACAGTTTGTAGGGAGTATTATAGTGTCGATGTAGTCCTGTATCTCACTTTCATACAGTTGTAGGGAGTATTATAGTGTGGATGTAGTCCTGTATCTCACTTTCATACAGTTGTAGGGAGTATTATAGTGTGGATGTAGTCCTGTATCTCACTTTTCAACAGTTGTAGGGAGTATTATAGTGTGGATGTAGTCCTGTATCTCACTTTTCAACAGTTGTAGGGAGTATTATAGTGTGGATGTAGTCCTGTATCTCACTTTTCTACAGTTGTAGGGAGTATTATAGTGTGGATGTAGTCCTGTATCTCACTTTCATACAGTTGTAGGGAGTATTATAGTGTGGATGTAGTCCTGTATCTCACTTTTCAACAGTTGTAGGGAGTATTATAGTGTGGATGTAGTTTTGTATCTCACTTTTAAACGGTTGTAGGGAGTATTATAGTGTGGATGTAGTCCTGTATCTCACTTTTGAACAGTTGTAGGGAGTATTATAGTGTGGATGTAGTCCTGTATCTCACTTTTGTACAGTTGTAGGGAGTATTATAGTGTAGATGTAGTCCTGTATCTCACTTTTGTACAGTTGTAGGGAGTATTATAGTGTGGATGTAGTCCTGTATCTCACTTTTCAACAGTTGTAGGGAGTATTATAGTGTGGATGTAGTCCTGTATCTCACTTTTCAACAGTTGTAGGGAGTATTATAGTGTGGATGTAGTCCTGTATCTCACTTTCATACAGTTGTAGGGAGTATTATAGTGTGAATGTAGTCCTGTATCTCACTTTCATACAGCTGTAGGGAGTATTATAATGTGGATGTAGTCCTGTATCTCACTTTTCAACAGTTGTAGGGAGTATTATAGTGTGGATGTAGTTTTGTATCTCACTTTTAAACGGTTGTAGGGAGTATTATAGTGTGAATGTAGTCCTGTATCTCACTTTTGTACAGTTGTAGGGAGTATTATAGTGTGGATGTAGTTTTGTATCTCACTTTTAAACGGTTGTAGGGAGTATTATAGTGTGGATGTAGTCCTGTATCTCACTTTTGAACAGTTGTAGGGAGTATTATAGTGTGGATGTAGTCCTGTATCTCACTTTTGTACAGTTGTAGGGAGTATTATAGTGTGGATGTAGTCCTGTATCTCACTTTTGTACAGTTGTAGGGAGTATTATAGTGTGGATGTAGTCCTGTATCTCACTTTTGTACAGTTGTAGGGAGTATTATAGTGTGGATGTAGTCCTGTATCTCACTTTTCAACAGTTGTAGGGAGTATTATAGTGTGGATGTAGTCCTGTATCTCACTTTTTCAACAGTTGTAGGGAGTATTATAGTGTGGATGTAGTCCTGTATCTCACTTTTCAACAGTTGTAGGGAGTATTATAGTGTCGATGTAGTCCTGTATCTCACTTTTCAACAGTTGTAGGGAGTATTATAGTGTGGATGTAGTCCTGTATCTCACTTTCATACAGTTGTAGGGAGTATTATAGTGTGGATGTAGTCCTGTATCTCACTTTCATACAGTTGTAGGGAGTATTATAGTGTGGATGTAGTCCTGTATCTCACTTTCATACAGTTGTAGGGAGTATTATAGTGTGGATGTAGTCCTGTATCTCACTTTTCAACAGTTGTAGGGAGTATTATAGTGTGGATGTAGTCCTGTATCTCACTTTTCTAACAGTTGTAGGGAGTATTATAGTGTGGATGTAGTCCTGTATCTCACTTTCATACAGTTGTAGGGAGTATTATAGTGTGGATGTAGTCCTGTATCTCACTTTTCAACAGTTGTAGGGAGTATTATAGTGTGGATGTAGTTTTGTATCTCACTTTTAAACGGTTGTAGGGAGTATTATAGTGTGGATGTAGTCCTGTATCTCACTTTTCAACAGTTGTAGGGAGTATTATAGTGTGGATGTAGTCCTGTATCTCACTTTTGAACAGTTGTAGGGAGTATTATAGTGTGGATGTAGTCCTGTATCTCACTTTTGTACAGTTGTAGGGAGTATTATAGTGTAGATGTAGTCCTGTATCTCACTTTTGTACAGTTGTAGGGAGTATTTATAGTGTGGATGTAGTCCTGTATCTCACTTTTCAACAGTTGTAGGGAGTATTATAGTGTGGATGTAGTCCTGTATCTCACTTTCATACAGTTGTAGGGAGTATTATAGTGTGAATGTAGTCCTGTATCTCACTTTCATACAGCTGTAGGGAGTATTATAATGTGGATGTAGTCCTGTATCTCACTTTTCAACAGTTGTAGGGAGTATTTATAGTGTGGATGTAGTTTTGTATCTCACTTTTAAACGGTTGTAGGGAGTATTATAGTGTGAATGTAGTCCTGTATCTCACTTTTGTACAGTTGTAGGGAGTATTATAGTGTGGATGTAGTCCTGTATCTCACTTTTGAACAGTTGTAGGGAGTATTATAGTGTGGATGTAGTCCTGTATCTCACTTTTGTACAGTTGTAGGGAGTATTATAGTGTGGATGTAGTTTTGTATCTCACTTTTAAACGGTTGTAGGGAGTATTATAGTGTGAATGTAGTCCTGTATCTCACTTTTGTACAGTTGTAGGGAGTATTATAGTGTGGATGTAGTTTTGTATCTCACTTTTAAACGGTTGTAGGGAGTATTATAGTGTGGATGTAGTCCTGTATCTCACTTTTGTACAGTTGTAGGGAGTATTATAGTGTGGATGTAGTCCTGTATCTCACT